TATAACACAACTATCAAAATAAAATACCAAATAGCTTATAACTTGACAATGCATCACTTTAAATATCTGCATGAAAGTTCAGCTCACTTATACACACCTGGGATTTACCTGCTTGCTACTATGAATGTGCATGAAAATAGTAGTCAGGCGTACCTCTGACACTCTGAAGTGACCAGGTATGGCTGTAACAGATCCTCGTTAGGTAACCATCAATATTCATTTGATAACTTTTCAATCTCCCCTGGGGATTAACAATCCTCTGTCGGTTTCATTCACTACCTCCCCGGGAGACACCAGAATTGGGTTTTTTGCTTTGTTTTGTTTTTCACCATAAAGCCAAGTCAAAAACTCTAAGTTGTTCAGTGCCTACGAGTTAATGAGACAAAGGTATGTCAATCAGGCAGCAGGCAGCCCTGAGCACCGCGGGGTTGTGGTGCTGGAAGCGCTGGAAGGAGCACAGCAGAGCTGGGCAGTGCCTCCTCTAGGAGCTGTACGCTAAAAGATGAAGACGTGTGGAAACAAAGTGACAAAATTAAGGCTAATTCTCAATGTTTATATTTAATAAATACTGCCTTTAACCAAAACAGTGCTCCTCACAAAAATAATTACAAGATTTATAAAAATATTAATTTGTTCTGTACTTTGTGTAATTGTGTATATGTCTAAGCTTATTTGCAGATAACTTCAAATTTCCAAGCTTGAGACCCCTTTTCTATTTACCTCTTTCTCCTCTACTCTTGAGGACACACACACGTACACACACACACACAAGATTTTCTGCCCTACAAGAATCCAGATCTGGTTAGGAAGAAAACACCAGTACAGAACAACAGAAACACACACAACAAAATAAAAGTAAGTGCTGAATTGTAGAGCTGTATATCCTAAAATACAGAATGGCTAAATATACAATTAGCCAATAACACATACTAGTTATGCAAATCAGGCGAGTAAGTCAGAAGAAACAAGGAAAGGGCAGTTGAACAGCACCCTGCAATCACCGTAAAGACACTAAGACCTAAAGTGAGATTTGTCAATGGGAAAGTGAGTCAACTTTCAATTTGCAAACCATCTTCATCAGCTGGGTTCCTACAGTGGCTCTGGACCCTCCCTCCCCCCCACCCACCAGGGCTCTAACAGATTCCGGAACAGTCCTGCCTTGGAAACTAAAGGGAGAGCCCCATAGCTAGCCCCTCTCTCCCCTCTTAATCTCCCCCCAGTCCATGTAGCCACGTCTCACAGCATCCCACGGTGTGCCCAGACCAGGGTGTCTGAACTCCACCCAGCTTGGCCTTGTCATTCCTAACCAGTTGAGTCAGCATATCTCTTGGTTGGGCCAAGCAGGGCTGAGCAGCTGTGGGGCTTTGTCTCTTTAGGAACAGATACGCCCTTACGACTAAGACTTAAAGCTGGGAGGTGGGGTGGTGACCTCAGGACAAGGCTCCTGTGCACCAGTGCGAGGCGGCTCAGGCTGGCCCATGCAAATGGGTGCCAGTTTTACAAAGAAAAGTCAAAACCCTCAAGCTCATGGTGACAATGATGGAAATTCACTTCTGAGACCAGATCTGCTCAGTCAGGATGAATCACCATCATCTTTTGCCTAACACAGAACTGGACCCAAGTAAAGGCAAGTAGGTTGTGCCTCCACTCCGGTGCTCTGCGGGGGACAGGGTTCCACTGAGGCCAGGCGCAATGTCCCCAACGTGATCTGCTCTTGCAACTTCAGTTCTCCATCTACTTGCTTTGTGAATATCCACTCTGTCACCTGTGTCTCAAAACCTAAAAATCCCAACCAGATGTGAGCCATGATGCCTTGCTCTCTCCTAGTTCTTCTCTTGAAGAGAAGAACCCAGCTGGCGGCCGTCTTCTCCAGAAGCTGGGGGGCATGTGCAGGGTCCGGAGGGTCATAGGCTTCACTTGTTCTCTTTCTTTCCTTTCGGAGTAATCTGGGCTTCCCCTGCCCCAAGTTGAGTCACCATCCCACCTGTGGGAGAAGGAAGCAGCAGGAACAGGAGGGGCAGCTCCAGTAGCGCCAGGGGGAGGAAGGCCTCGCTTCTCCGGGGCCCTGGGCAAAGCCGGGCTTGACCCCCAATTCCACCCTGGGCATATTGTTGAAAGTGACCTAATGAAATGGAGAAATCATGGAGGCGGTTGGTAAGCTCGTCTGTGGGGTTTGGGGGAGAAAGAAGTGGAGACTTGGCCAGTGGCGATGCCACCTCCTCACCCTCTGTCCCCAGACTCCTACGCGGGAACCTGCCCGGGGCAGCTCTGCAGGGACCAGGATCCTCTGAGGCCTGAACTGAAATCTTCACATGGCTGGTTAGCCCGGCCGGTTTGGCTCATGGGGTAGAGTGAGGGTGTGCGGACCCAGGAGTCCCGGGTTGGGTTCCGGTCAAGGACATGTACGTACCTCGGTTGCAGGCTCCACCCCGGCCAGGGCGTGCAATCAATGCGTTTCTCTCACATCCATGTATACCCTCAGCTGAGGATTACAGAACTAAATAAACCTTCACATGGTTGGAAATGCCTGTTGCTCTAATAATATTTTTTAACTTAAAGCCCAGCTTCAAATATATTACTGAGAGACACGGTAGTAATAACAACAGCAAGAACTATCCTTTGACCCCACCCCCTGAACGCGGGGGGCCGAGCCCGGAGTTCTGCATCCTCCTGAGGGGTGGCCCTGCCCCCCGCGGGGCTGGCGGGGAGACCTGGGGGCGCTGGGAACCCTGGGGTCCCGGGGTCGCCGGGCCTCGGAGACGAGGGGGGACTCAGGGATCCAGGAGCTCCGGCACCCGACCCGGTGGCCCCGCCCGAGCTGGGGGGCCGGGCGCGGGGAGCCGCCCCTCCGGGACTCTCTCGGGGGCGGGCGGGGCCGCCGTCCCGGTTAAAAGGCGCCGCCGGCCCGCAGGTGCGGCAGAGCCCGCCGAGGTCTGCGCTCCCCCGAGCAGGCGGCCAGGCCGGACCCTCAGGACCGCACGGGACCCCCAGCCCTGCCCGGACCCACCGAGCCCGCCGCCGCCGGTGAGCCAGCCGCGGAGCCCGCAGCGGGCGGCCGGACCGCGTCCCGGACCCGAGCTGCGGTGCCGGCGGGAGGGACGGCGCGGGCTGAGGACCGGGACCCGGGGACTGGGGGGCCGGGGGGGCGGGGGGGTCCCCGGGGCTGTCGCTCTGGGACCGTCACGGAGAAGTGACCCGGACGGCGGGGCAGTGGGCGCGGGTCAGTGCCGGGTGGACCCCGCTCGCACCGAGGCCCCTGCTGGGTCTTTGTCGGCGGCCGGGCAGGCGCCCCGCAGCGGGTCTGGCGACACAGGGTCCGAGGGAATTCGCCGGGAGGGACTGCCCTCGCCGAGTTCCGAAACTGGAATCGGGCCGCGGCGGGGAGCGGACGTTGGACACCAGCGCCCGAGTGCCCGGGAGGAGGGGCCGCCGCGTGTGCCAACGCGCTTTGGCGATCTAGTTAGTAAGGTTCCTGGGGAAGTCTGTCTGACGCCCTGGGGAGTGTTTAAGTACCGGAGCCTCCGCTAAGAAGGAAGGCTGGCTTCCATTTGTGGAGCAGGAGTCCTGCCTGGAGGAGGTGATCTTTGCAAACCAGGCGCTCCCATCACCGTCTGCGGAGAGGAGCCAGGACTCCGGGCCCAGCCCTGTGAGCAGGCACGGTAGCCTAAACTTGAGACACGGGTTTCCTTGTTCCTCTTTCCTGAACAATCGGAGCGCCTTCATTTCCAGGTGGCATTTTCTAGCAAGGGGTTGAGAACAATGTTCCTTCAGGCAGTGACATAAACCCTCTGCTCCTGGAGGAGGGACATAAGCCTCATCAATGTCTCCCCTCCCTGAAGTTGGACGACCATTTAGTTGGGAATCTGTCTCAGATGTGTGGCAACAGACATTTCCCTGCCTGCTCTTTGAACCAAAACTCGGGTGCTAAGTCACCTGTGAGGAAAGGTGGGCCACTCTGCGGAGGCAGATGGTCAGGTCTGTCGGGGGGGAAAAGGGATTGAGAAGAAATTAAGGTAAAGATTGCTTTTACCTTTTCTCACATCGTTCCTTCCCTAAAGAACAGAAGCTTCTCTGCCAGAGTGCCACGCAGTGGCTGGCGGGGTGGTGTGGGCCAGGTCAGGAGGGCAGCACAGCAGCTCCCCAATGGTTTCACCCTGGGTTAGCCCACCTTGACCTTTACCCCATCCCACTTGTGGGTTACAATTTTATTTCTCCTTTTCCTGAAAGGATCCACAAACAGGTAGTTGCAGCTATAACAGCGATAAGGACTCACTGTCGTTTTCTCAGCTGATGGTGGTTGGACTGGTTTGTAGAAGAGTGTGGGTCTGTGTTTGGTACTTTGGAAGAGGACAAAGGCATAATGCTCCCCATTTCAGCCAGGTGGACAGCTTATGTTGTAAGGGGCCTGCTCCCACTTAGTAAATGCCGGTGAAGAACTGGACTGTCTAGTTCCATAAAATAGTTTGATTAAACTATGAATTTTGGTTTTGCTGTCGGACAGGACTAAACTGTTCACCCCTAAGAGGACTGCCAGCCAGACAGTCTGTATTTAAAGGGTCAGGACTGAACCACTTTTTTTTTCCAGTGGTATTTGTCTTTTTTAAGCTAAGTAAGGCTAAATGATTTTGAAGTGCATTTCAAGTTTTGTGTCCATGATGGGTCTCTATGTCTCTCCTGCTTGATCTGACCAAGGTGGCACTGGGTGGCTTCAGCCATACCTTGTGACCCACCTGAGATGGGGCTAAGTGATGAGCCTGCTCTCCATGGGGAGACAAGAACCAACTTGCTCAAAATGAGGAGAGCGTTATGCTTTTAAGTAAGAAAAGAGAGCATTCACTGCCAGCACAGAAGGGGTGGAAACAGACGCTGTCAGGAGTGTGGGGAAGTGGGATCTCGTTAGCAGAGCGCTGATTGAGACAGATTGGGTGTAAGGATGAATAAGTGAAGAGAAGGCCACTGGCTCGTGGCAGGTTTCAAGTCCCTTTTCATTAAGATGTACATACCCCACCGAGTTTTCTGAACTTCAGTATTCAATTCAGTGACATCGCCCTGAAGGGCATCACTAGGAAATCACTGTCATTTTGCTTCATTTATTGTCTTTTTTTTTTTTTCCATAATGTGCCTCTTTAGAAACACGGGTAGCCATCAGTTTCGCATGATGGTGAGGACCACCAGTCCATACTCAAAACATTCACAAACATCTATGCACATAGTGGCTTTTCTCCATGAACAGAAAGTTTCCAACCTGTTCTTTTTCATATAGTAAAAGGAAGTGAGGCCCTTTTGTGAAATTTTAACATATGGTGCCTCAGATGTTAACTTCACCATCCGTAACATATATTTCACTTCTACATCCCAAAACCATGACAATTCATTGAAACCGTTTAAGGAAAAGGGCTCTGTAGGGAGACATGCCTGCGACCTTCACAGCAGGTGGGTGGGACTAGGCTCAGTCCCAGGAGTGTGGTGAGGCTAAAAGCAAGCGCACAGCTGAAATCTGCACTTTGAGTGCCCGGGGAGTGCCTGCTGAGGGATCAGTCAGCACTAATTATGCCTCTAAGTTAGGAGCCCTTTTTTATTATGTGCTAAAGACTGGGTGAATTACTCAGGTGAATAAGTATACACTGCTCTTTATTGGAAAATACATAAACAGGTTTGAGGTGGTTTGGGAACCATCCTTTTTATCCTATGGCAAATTAAGTTGGTTTGGTTTTCACCTTTTGGGTGAAGTTCAGTAAGAGTTGGTGTTTGCTCAGGAAGAGACTTAAGGGTGCTTACTTACCCAGAGAATTCTTCCAGATTCTATCCTGGTGAGTCATTCCTCTATTGTGTTCGTCTTGTCTTTTCTAGAGCGAACTGCCCGCAGAAGATGGATTGGGGCACTTTGCAGACTATTCTGGGGGGTGTCAATAAACACTCCACCAGTATTGGAAAAATCTGGCTCACCGTCCTCTTCATTTTTCGAATTATGATCCTGGTTGTAGCTGCAAAGGAAGTGTGGGGAGATGAGCAGGCTGACTTTGTCTGCAACACTCTGCAGCCTGGGTGCAAAAACGTGTGCTATGATCACTACTTCCCCATCTCTCACATACGGCTCTGGGCCCTCCAGCTGATCTTCGTGTCCACGCCAGCTCTCTTGGTGGCCATGCATGTGGCCTACCACAGGCATGAGAAGAAAAGGAAGTTCATTAAGGGAGAGATAAAGAGTGAATATAAAGACATCGAAGAGATCAAAAACCAGAAGGTCCGAATAGAAGGGTCCCTGTGGTGGACCTACACCAGCAGCATCTTCTTCCGGGTCATCTTTGAAGCTGTCTTCATGTACGTCTTCTACATCATGTATGACGGGTTCTCCATGCAGCGTTTGGTGAAATGTAATGCCTGGCCTTGTCCCAATACCGTGGACTGCTTTGTTTCCAGGCCCACAGAAAAGACTGTCTTCACAGTATTCATGATTGCAGTGTCTGGAATTTGCATACTGCTGAATGTCACTGAATTGTGTTATTTGCTAATCAGATATTGTTCTGGAAAGTCAAAAAAACCAGTTTAAAACATTACCCAACTATTAGATAAAAATTAGACAGCAGGAAAAGAATGAGGCAATCAGTGCTTAGTTGTCAAGGCCGAGTCACCAGCATTTCCCAAGGTCAAGATTTTTATCTTAAATGTATCCGATTGAAATTTCTGTAGCTCTCACGTAAAACTCCAAGTGCCTCTACTGGCACACTTCTCTCCTAAACTTAAAACACAAAGACTTGATCCTATGCCTATATTGATTTTTACTCAGATTAGTTCCAATGATACCCTGTGCTGGTAGGGGATATTTGTGCAAGGTAATTTCATATTTTGAAGAAAGAATATTGGCATTTGTTTCTATTTCTTTGAGGAAAGGAGAGAAACACCAGGTCCTAAAGAGAATGCTAAGAAGAGTGAGTGGGTTGCTCTTCTTATGGTTCTTATTGCCATTTTCCCATTAATTAAAGGCACACATAGATAACCTTGGTTCTTTTATTCACTTTGGAAGTTCTAGTCTCTTATGATGGACAAGGTTACCTAATGTTTCAAACTGTCATTTTATTTTTTTTTTAAGTGAACACTTGAAAATATATTCTTTTGATCTACAAGACATTCTGAAAACCATTATACTTTCCTCCTATTTCAACAGCTCTGATAATGATATGTAAATGTTGTGTAGCTAGATACTATCGTTGCATTTAAAATGTGACCTCCCAGTTATGAATAATTTGCAGAGCCACTGTATTAACTGTGGTATGTAATCCACAAAAGCATTACAACCTCTCTCACATGAGATAAACTAGAAGTTCTTAGTGATGGCTTGACAGCCAATGGCCTCATTTCACAACTTTAGGTGTAATTTTGGAGGAGAAATATAGACAATATATCATCAATTGCCACCAACTACAGCTGGTTCAAGACACCCTATCTTTTCAACATTTGCCTTTTCCATGACTTGGTAAAGGGTGGAAACACTGATTTAAAGCAGTTTTTTAGGACTATTTTGTTGCCACAGTTCAAAACAAAATGGGGGTGGAGTAGGGGTAGGGGTGGGGGTGGAAGTAAGGGTGGGAGGTTCTATTTTTAAAGAACAGATGAAAAGACTAGACTCTAAATTCTGGTGATTAAAATATGAGTTTCCTCTATTTTAAAAGTTTGCTTGCTTTCCTCTTCAGCTTACAATTTTTTAAAAGTGAAAATAGAATTAATAGACATTTTAAAAAATAGACACTATGGTTTAGATATATTTATCAATTCTCTAGGACACATTGAACCTTAGTATTATTATCATGATGCTTGACCTGGTTTCCAAAAAATTGTACTCAACATTCTTCAATGAGGGTAAACATTTTTCTTTTGCCAAGAATAGCATTATAAAAATATTTTTGTAATAATAAATAATAGCTTTAAGTACACGCTTGTAACTAAATAATTTTGTAATGTCTCAAATATTCAAAATCTTAAAATATAAATTTGTATACAGTAATAGTTATTTAAAATTTATTAGTTTTTAATATAATAGCACATTTTAATGTCATCTATGGTCAATTTTGTATAAGGAGTTTCATATTTTAAGTGTAATGACACCCAAAAGGTAAGTTTCCAGGTTGTCTGTCACCATCCTCAGGTCTTCTGCCCAGTTATAGAAAGGCTCTGTCACTAGAAAGCTTGGCAGGGAAGGGAGGAAGAAGATGGTTTGTGCCCAACCCCCTGCTGACCACAACAGTTTTTTTACAAACACACTCACAGTGTGGTGTGCAGATTGGGTTTGCCGCTTGGAGGATGTCAGGCTGGGTTCACATGACCAATGTGGCTCCTAGAATCCTGGGAACTAACACTTTAAAATGATATTCATGCTAAAGGTTGGCTGAGGCATGAGAAAGATTCTATCAGATGTCTTTTCTGCAAGATTGTTTTTCTGTGTGTTTGTATGTAATCAAAGCTAGTTTTAGAAACTCCTTTTTACTTCTTGGTACCCACTTCCATGGGAAATAAAACCAGCGCTTCAGCTGTCCCTTTGTGAGTGTCCCTTAGGCACTCTCCCCAAGACAGCAGTGCCAGCCCTGTCCTTAGACTAAGGCCTTCAAGGCATTCTATACAACAATAATTATAAGTATTTCTACTCATAATTACTGAATAGAAATACTATTTAAATTAATTTAATAGGACCCGAACCAGCCAGCTTTCATCCAGGTGATGGGAGAGCAGTAAGAAGTAGTCCCTGCCTTCCAAGGAGCTCTGCACACAGCCTGTTAAAACAACACATGGATTTTAAATGCTATGTTCACTCTTACAGGCCATGAAGATTATTACTCTCAAGGTCTTAAAGACTGGACCAGATAATTACAGAGGACTTCTGACCACTTTTAAGGACTTAAAAATAGATCTGGCCACAGGCCTAAAAATTAGAGCTTGAACTCTGAAAATACAATAGTAATCCTAAATATATATTTCAAATCACTAATTTAAAAAGGAAAAGCTATGCTGTTTGTTTTTTAAGATTCCACCAAAGGACTCTATCAAGTTAGTGTGTTGAGACCTCCAGCACAGTTGAGCACTGTAAGTTTAGGACATGGGTACGGCTCCACTGCTAATGCTGCCTTGTACAAGGTCTGTTAATAATGGGAATTGTGATCTCAAGCAACTCTTCTGTACATGTGCAACTGCCAAAAGGTGCATCACAATTGTTATGAGTGGATCAGGGACAACTCAGAGGACAAATGTATTCTCCAGGGTGGCTTGGGTCTGAGTTGCCAGTCATTGCTATCACCGGCCTCATGTTCAACTGCAGACCAGCAGGTACTGTGCGAGAGGGCCTACCGTGGGTAGAGTAACTCCCTCATTTCTCCAGATTTCAGATTCCTAAGGTTAATGGCAATCAGGTAAGATAATTTGTGCAAAAACCCTCTACAGAGGAAATTGTTGAGTAAACAATTGCCATCTGTTTTCCATTAGATAAATCCCAAGTTGGAAAGATGTTGGATAGCATTTCAGGTAGGAATGACTCAAGCAAAACTTGATATACTGGGAGCTTGAAAAAAATGCACACTTACATCAAGCCTGAAATAAGTGCAATACAGGAGAGAAGACACTAGCCACATAGATGGGAGAAGAATAATTGATTGCCCATGTAACAGCAAAAAAGCTCAGGTGGTGACAGCTATGACACTGAAATTACAGAAAAATCAACAGAATACTACAGAAAGCTTTGGTTCACCTAGTTAGGGTCTCTAAATGCCTTCCATATATGGTACAAAATACTTTTTCTCTCAGTCCTCCAGATAGGACTACTCCTTTGGCATGGATCCAGGAGGTGAGCTCAGGCAGAGACCATCATGCTCAAAGGTCAATTGCAAATGTTATCACACAAAGGATGTCAACTGACTTCTAGAATTTCCCTAGTGCGTTTCTTTCCTGCAGCTTGTAACTGGCACCATAGGGACTCCTCGTCTTCCCAGTGCTGACGGAGTTAAGGTAGTCTTCCCTATTGTAAGATGCCTGCCCCTCCATTCCTATACAGCTCTAATTACTCATTTACTCAACCAATATCTAATGAGTACAACTGAATGCCAAAGCAAAACTTGGTCTTCATGTTGAAGGCGGTAGACTGTACACGCACACCAGGTATATATGCTGCAGATGTGCAATGGAGGAAAACAAACCAGCAGAGTTTATGCTTAGACTTTTCTAAGAGTAAAAAATTTAGGAGAGCGTTTTAAGGACAAATCAAGTTTTCACTGCAAAAAGACAGGAAGGGGTCCTTACCAGCCACCTAATTGGCTGGGGTCTTCATCTTAGACTTCTAAGCCTCCAGAACAGTGAGGAGTAAATGTTTGTTGTTTAAGCTAAAGAAAAATAAATTTTTGAAAATGTAAAAAAAAAAAAAAAAAAAAACCAGCAGAAGGGAACTAGGATCTGCCAGGGGCGATGGCAATTGCTATTTACTATTGGGTGCTCAGGGAGGGCCATTCTGCCAAAAGACCTGATGGAAACGAGGAAGCAGAATAAATAGTGTCTTAGGGAAAGTTGTCCAGTGAGAGAGGGAAGGGCCAGACACCAGAGTCAAGGGGACAGCGAGAGGAATGAGGCTGAAGAGGGGCAGGCAGTGCAGATGGACTCAGGATGGCTGTGTTCAAAAGTCCAGCACCTACTCTGCTTTCTACTGGACCCGAGTATGTCTCTTAAATAGCTGGGAAAAGATCAAGTTCTGACACAGCATTAATACTAACGTAGTCTGAGCTTGAGTTAGCCTTTTAACAGCTTCATCATCTTTCCTCATCTTCAATTAAAGGCCACCAATGTGATTATGTAATGATAGAATTGATATATAAATATATTTATATAAATATAAATATTATGCGGAAAAGTAAATACAGAAGGATATAAAGTCAAAACTGGAAGTCTTGCCGAGACCGGTTTGGCTCAGTGGATAGAGCATCGGCTTGGGGACTGAAGGGCCCGGGTTCGATTCCGGTCAAGGGCATGTACCTTGGTTGCGGGCATATCCCCACTAGGGGGTGTGCAAGAGGCAGCTGATCGATGACTCTCTCTCATCGATGTTTCTAACTCTCTATCTCTCTCCCTTCCTCTCTGTACAAAATCAATAAAATATATTTTTAAAAAAACAAAAACTGGAAGTCTCATTTCTTTCCCCTATTTTAAAGTATCAGCATGAACATCCCAGTGTCTATCCTTCCAGTCTTTTCTATGCCATCACAGCTACTTATATGCACAGTCACACAGAACCATTTTGGTTTGCGTTCTTACATAATTCTTTTTTGTGGTAGTTTCTCATTTAATAACATGCCTTGGAGATATTTCCTGGTTAATATGTATAGCTCTAACTTGCTCTTTTTGGAAAATGTACAGTATTCCATAGAATCACTGAGTCATAAGCTATGTAACCATCCCTTGTTAGTGAACAGTTACATGGTCTCCAATTTTCAGAATTCTCTCCTCCCCTTCTCTTCCTATTAAATCAGATTTTCCCTTTGTCCTGCATGTTACATGACATTTTCCAGTCTATTAAGGGCTTTACATTTCCTTGTTGAATCTCATTGCTGATTTGGGCTCATCTATCTGGCCCATCCAGATTTATCTATGCCCCGTATTCAGTCCATTAGCAATTCCTTCCAACTTTATGACATCAGTCAGTTAAAATAGCCTGCTTTCTCTACAGTCATTGAAGCCAATAAAAATATTGACAATAGAATGCCACCAAGAATTGCCTTTGAGCTTAACATCCATGCATTTACCAACATGGTATGAATTGAAATGCTGAAAATAAACGCACTTTTACACTTCACTGCATCTGGTTCACAAGTTTTCAATATAGACTAGGAGTCCATACTGGAACCCTCTGTGATGGGGAGCTGCTCGCTGCTGCCACCTGCTGTCTGCAAGGGTCACTGCAGGGCACTGCTTCCTTCCAGGCCTCTGGGGCTCCCTCAGGATGGCAGGGCCCAGCCAGCACCAGCCTCTTTGAGACCCTCCTGCACCTGCACTGGCACACCCTCCCTCCACAAAACTTCACCATTGCCCTGGAGTTTGTATCGATATTTCCAAATGTAGCTATCTAGCCATTGTTGCTTTGTTAGGGTAACCATAAAATGAAAAACAAAAAAACATACACTACTTCCTCTCAAAAGAGGTACAGTGAGCCATACTAGCTGTAATCTTCTGGTTACAGTGAATGGCCTGTCACCAGGTTCCAAGGTAGGTTTTGTCCTCAGGTTTCTGTAAGCATTTCTGTCACCTGGGTTTTGGAATCTCACCATCTAGGCCTGTAAATGCCACAGTCCGATGATTTCTTGGTCATCACTCATCTGTGGGTGTGGGGGGGGGGAGATGACTTATTATTAAAAGCATTTTAAATCATCTTATATAGCACAGCAACTCTTTAAAGAGTCAGTGTTAGAGGGGAAATAACTTGATATATTCAATTCAAAAATTTCAGGTTCCTTATTAACTGTGATATCTACTTTTCTAAAGAAAAAATATAGGTTTAGGGAAATTTTGAATCACAATAACTCAAAAAAGTGTGAATTTTCTCTGCTTTTTCCAAAAGTGAGAGATCTCAAAGTGAATGGATATTTTCAAACCCAAGTTCACAACATTATTAGTCACAATATCTAAATCTATAAATAACCTAAGTTGTCCATTGATGGATGATGGGATAAACAAAATGTGATCTATACATACAACAGCATATTATTCAGCCTTAAAAGGGAAGGAAATTCTGTCACATGCTGCAACATAGATGAGCCTCGGTGGAATAAGCTGGTCACAAAAGGACGAGTATTGTATGGTTTCACATATATATGGCACCTTAAGCAGTCCAACTTATGGAGACAGAAAGTGGGTGGTGGGTGCCAGGAACTGGGGTGGGGAAGATGGAGAATTAGTGTTTAATG